CCCCCCCCTTCCCCCTCCTTTGGGCCTTTGGGATCGTTCCAGCCTGATGTTCCTGGCATAAATTCTCATCATCCTCCTGGTCGTGTTTTCTCTCCTTGTCCACTGTGCAGTACCTGATCGCCGTGGGTCAAGGATGATTAGAGATATCAATATCATCAAGTGACAATGCGGAAGGGATAGGGACGGTAAAGAAAACTGAGATAGGCGCGGAAGGCATGCATACATACCTTACCTGTCATTCAGGTACTGGTCGCAAAAAAGGGCTTTCTAACAGCAGTATGATGAATCACAGTAAATCAATCACACAACAAGTGAATTGGATTCTTTTTGGCTACAGTAGTAGCAGCAGTAGCAGCATGCTAGCACCTGCTTTGCGACAAGAAGAAAGAACAGAACAAAAACATTTGGCCGATCCCTTCTTCTACCTCTCGCGTGCTAACATGGGAGGGACATTGATTTGCAGCGGTGTACGTTTGGTAGGGGCCTGGTCCCTGGTATGACCATTCATCTTCCCTTTTCTCTCTCTTTCTTTCTCTCGCTCTCTTTACAACCTGACCAAATCGTCTTAGTGGCAAAAGGGGAGAGAGAGAGAGATCTCTGATGATCATCTCTCTCTCTTTCTCTCTCTCCATGCCTGCCCCCCACCCCAGTTTAGTTAGTCACCTACCTTTTTCAAAGCTGCTGCCATCTCCATTTCACTAAGGTATATACTATTTTAGCGTAAACTGGGAAATTCACTCCGGCGGTGTCTTCGGTGTTTATCATATATTTTCTTATTACCTACCCTATGTATACTGTACCTATTCGTCTCGTACCTCCCAGGTTTCCGGTAGATCCTCTCTCCTAAAAGTCACAAGACAATAAATTACCTCCTAGTGTTGGTTCAAACTACCTCCCCAAAAAAGAAAGTGATGCTAAATTCTGATGATGCTATCTACATAGTGCCACTGCTCTGGGCTGGGCTGGGGACCACAAGCTACCTGTATCTTTCGCATACAGCTCCGTCATCCTGCACCGCCGCCCATCCATTCGCATCGCCAGATAAAAAACAAAAAGGTCGTTTGTGCGACACGTGGGACCTATAGTAGCTTGCCGGCGATTGCGGAGGCAAGGGTCCATGTATTTCCCTCTCTTCCCCCCCTTCCCGTGGGAGTGAAGCAGCCAGCGGCCAGCGGTAGGTACTCTGCATCCAACAACCCAGCACCTGTCCCGCCGAATCCGTTTCGGTAGTACCGGGTAGAGAGAAGCTGCTCGCACGAGATTCCCCATTTTGAAATGATGAGTTGGAGCCTGGTCTGGTGATGATGATGATGATGATGATGGAGCTTGGGTCGTTTTCTTACTTGGGTACTTACTAGTTACTAGTTACTACTGTACTGTACTGTACCTATGTATTACAGAGCGAGACCAGTTCCAGATGCTACCGCCCGAAGTAGATTCACAGACAGACAAACAGACAAGACAAGACAAGACAGGTCCCGTCTAGACCAGGTCCTACAAGTACCTGTGCCTGTACCTGTACCTGTATCTATCACAGTCGTCCCGTTTCCCCCTCGTATGCGATGCAGAACAGTCGGCGTTTCTGACAGAGTATGACATGGTCGGTGTCTCCTACCTCAAGCTACCTCAAGCTACCTCCGACCTGCCAGTATGTACCCGGTGACTTTGTGTACTATACCCGTACCAGACTACCAAGCAAGCAAGCAAGCAAGCAAGCAATCAGTTTTTTGGCTGCCATCGATCGGCTTCTACCGGTCTCGTAAGCATGTACTGTATGTACGTTCAAGACATGTGTGTGTGTGTGTGTGAACTCCTGTATCCCAGTCAACATTCCCAACAAACACCCTATTCGGCCGGCCGACCGCCGCCGTACAGGATGTTTTGTTTGTTGGTTGCCCGGCAGACTAGGCTAAAATGTATGTAGGTAAAATTGGATGAGTGAAGCATATCTTCTTCTTTTTGACAAGTACAGTAACAGTAGCCTGGTAGTTGATACACTGATGATGAGTATGTTTTAGGATCCGCTGGATATTTTACCTACTAGGTACATGTATCTCATCTTTCTTTATTTTATCTTTTTTGCTCATCAACATGAGGTATCCTATCTTATCATATCCTTCCAATTCCTTCCATACGAAGCCGACCGAGAGTAGTAGTCCCGTAATCGGCAAGTTACGTACTAGCACGAACCCTTCACGCGGCGGTGGAATTTGTTGTTGTTATTATTATCATGGACTGGACGGGCATTTAATGAAGAGATCGGTATATTGGAATTCTCACGTGCTTCATTTCCTACATTAGACGAGATTTTTTGGCAGAAGATATATTCTACAGTGAAAAAAAGGTAGGAGGAGTACAGAGGACAGGAGTAGAACTAGAACGTCGGGAGTAGATACAGTTACATATAGGTAAATGGGAGCTGTCGAGTCAGTAGACCAAAAAGAAAAAAAAAAGACGCCATCCAGACTCGCGCTTGCATATGTTACCCACGACGACGTTGTTCGCACGTGGCGTTTAAGTCCTGGCCCGGATCTGTCTCGCATCGCTACACAACTCTCGTCAGATCGCATACACGATGCCGTACGGTTTCGCATTGGGATGGAGGGGGGGGGGGAGGGGGGCAGGAAAAAAAAGGTCGTCGAATCGGAGGCTATTATTTCTTACTATTATTACTCGCGTTTCCGGAGGGAACCTTGGAGGTTTAGAGGCACTAACTAACTAGGTAGGTCAGGTAGGTCAGGTAAGGTAGCTAGGTAGTCCACAGTGCACTACTGAGAGAGAAGTGCGGCCCAAGGGAAAAGAGGGAAAAGAAGGAAAAAGAGGTTAGAAGCCTGAAGCCTGAAGCCGATGAGCTGATTGAATTGATGATCATTACCGCACGTGCACCAACAAAACTGTCCTATGACTCCCCCTATCCCTACCACCCTTACCCTTCCCGTCACCCTTTCACTCTTGGGATCCCTTCGAAGACGCCAAATGATTCTCGAATTATTATCCGAAAGCGGGAGCCGAGCATAGGCAATGAATCCATAGTAGGCTCCATTTCATTATACATTGGGACTCCGATGGGAGTCTGGAGATGGGATTGAGATTCCGATTATTATTATATTGCCCGTATCGCTTCTCATCTCGATGCTCACCGTGGATCGGGGACCGCCGCGGCCTTTTGGTCGACGAAGTTTGTATTACCTCTCCACATTTAGCCTGTATCGCACGCACCGCACCGCATTTTCACATCATCATCATATGCCCAAAAAAGCGCACTTGCAGACGTGACATGGCCGTGATCTTTGCATACCATTTTTCGCTGTCGATACCGCGCATGCTGACTATATATGTGCTTTTTTTTTGGTTTTTGCGAGGCTGATTTGAGAGAGAGAATGTGTGTGTGTGCGTGCGTGTGTCAAAAGAAAGGACCTTCCCTTCTCCCACGGGCGATCGATAGATCCTTGCCACGTCGCCGAGATGCTGGAGCGAAGCTACGACTGGCGGACGCGCTACGTTTCGCCCTACCTCTTCGATTCGTGGGCGGGCCGCAGTCCTTCGGCACTTGCTACGAACCCTCACGAGCGTTGGCACGTCAAAAAAATCACTATTCTGTCATGTCAACACTGGGAATTAGGAAGGCTCCCGCTCGCCGGCGATGCTGGCCACTTCAAGATGAGAATGGATAATTTGGATATCACCGCCCGTCGTGACATCCCCCCTGGTGTCCCCGTTATCGACGATATATGGACCAGGAGCACGAGGCACTGCTGCACTGGGCAGCTCCAGGGACCGACCGTACCGTACGTACCAGTAGTAGGTACTTCTGTAGGCTGTAGCCTGTGCTGCAGGCAGAAGCGGCCAGCACGCAGCACGCTGTGAATGATGTACGTACCTAACCATGAGAATAATCCATGAATACCCTCCCCTCCTCATCCCCCCCCCCTCCCCCCCCCCCCCTCCCCCGTCTTCCCTGTCCTCCCCTACCCTACCCTACCCTACAGTACCCTACCCATGTTCCAGCACGGCCGCCGGTTCCCTAGCCAGTTCTACTAGTCGACTTGGGCCGCCGACGAGCATGTTTGGGCTTATTATTCGGGCAAGCGCATGTGCCTGCGCCCACCCACTGACGACGGTCTTAATACCGGGGGGTCCCTAGAAGAGGACTCGCTGTGAAAGGTCGGTTTGAGCAGGGTCAAAGAGAACCCGCGTCACAGGCTGCACAACGAAGATCCTAGCGCAGAGTCCGAGAGCCTTGTCCGGTCGCCCAGTATCCTAGGTCGATGGTTCGATGGTAGCAGCTCTGTCGGAGCCGCAAATAATAACTATTCGCTGGTTGGCGCGTCTGAAGCGAAAAAAAGAGAGAAGCGCGCGAGAGAGTCTGAGAGTCTGAGAGAGAGAGAGAGAGAGCCTGCTCGAGAGTCTGAGAGAGCGAGCCAGCCAACCAGCCAGCCAGCGAAAGAAGGTCTTGTCTGCCAGTCTGGTTGCTTGCTTGCTTGCTTGCCTTGCGCCTTGCCTCGTCGTCAGAAATAGGGCGCTGCCGTCACGCACTATACTTACATCTACCTACCTCCCGAATCTCTGTACGACCGACCACCAGTGATCTGCGAACACTAGTCCGTTGACACTGCGTCTTCGTCTCTTCGCATCCTGCAGGCTGGGGAGTCTGCTGATACCAACAGCACATAATGACCTCCGGACCACCTGAATCTACGACGACAGGTTATGCTCCCAACGAGTCACGGAGGGCCGCCGCTTTACCATCTCGGATTGAGGAACCATTCGCCCGACAGTACGTTGTCTCTGCCCTGCCCTGCGCTGCACTGCGCTGCGCTGCGCTGCCCCCCTCCACTGTGCCCGAGCTGCGTGTCACTAACGTTGGTGTTTCCCATTATTATAGGCAGAGACTACAGGACAGAGATCCGTGGGCTGCTTCGCGCCCAGCGCCAGCCCTCAGGTATGCCAACACTCATCCAGGAGCCATTCCTACGACGCATACTCAGAGCTTGAAAAGTTTCCCTCCCCCACCCGGCCTGCCTTCAGGAAATCGCAGTGCGCCCGGTTACCCGCCCTTCGCCTCGACCCAACAAGCACAACGCTGGGCCCGAGAGGAATGGTCGAGCCGACCAGCAGCACCACCCTACCAAGACCTCCCACTCCTCTCTGGCTGGGCCTCATCGCCCCTCACGGCCCAGTTCCAAACCTCGCAAACGCCGATGCCTCCCGCAGGCGGTGACCGGAGTCCCCAGTCGGGCTATGCTGCGTACGGAAGCGCGTGGCCAGGAGCAGCTCTCCGCCGTAGCTCTTCGGAAGAAGCGAGGAACAGTCCGCTGGTTGGTGCACTCTATGGTGGTGGAGAGATGATGTCCAATAATACACTCAGCTTACAACAATCAAAGAACTTCCCCCAACGACGACCCTCGAACCGGGACGAATTCGACGGACCGTCGCAACTGCTCGAGAAGCCGGAAGACAACGGCGTCGAGCCCAAGGAAGAGGACCTTCCCCAGCTCCCGATTACGTTATATGCCCAAGAACAGGACGAGATCCTCTCGAAAGTGAACGACAGACTTTCCCAGTGTGCATTCGACTTTGTTGCCAAATACCAGTTCCCCGTCCCCATTGAGCCCGACAAGCGACCAGTACGAGTACCAGGAGACCGAGAGTGGTCGGAGTGGGTGTACCTGCTCAAGCGACTAGCGACCAAGAGACGCATCCCAGCACGAGTGCTCTACAATGGTCAAATCAAACAGCTAATCACGATTCTCGAGAATAGCTTGGAAATGAGACATGCGGCCAAGCATCAGTCTCGGCCGCTCAAGGACGACAGAAACATTCTCCAGCTGATTAGCTCTGGCCTGCAAGTGGCCAAGATTCTCAAGGATGCCCCAGCAATGCAATACCTCGACAGTCTGTACATTCAGACCGAACGGCTGATTCAGAGCCGTAGAGCACCAGCGCCATCGCCGTTCAACTCGTCCATGTAACAGCGAAAGACGACGACGAGAACAATACCAATAACAACAACAAGTGCAAGTACAAGTACAATAACAACAACGCAAAGAAAGATTATTTCTCAGAAAGGGACACAGACCAGGGTTTTGGTTTAGTAGTAGATGATACGAGAAGACAGAGAGCGTGGGAGAAAGCGAGAGAGAGAGCGAGACAGAGAGCGAGAAACCTCTTATCTCCCTCTCTTATGTTTTCTCTCTCCCTCTCTCTCAAATGGTTTCGGAACGGGGCTTTTGTCATCAGCTTTTTTCCCCCAAAGACAAAGGCAAACGCAAAGTGGGGAGAAGGGGCAGCGGGGTGTGATTTGGGAAGGCAAGGGGTGGGGGAGGGTGAAGGGAGGGAAAAGAGAAGCAAGTGGCCAGTACACGAGAACGAGAGCAAATTTCAAAGCCAAACATCCCAAGGGAGGAGAAAAAGAAAGGAGAGAGCAAAAACTACTGGGGCACAACTTTTTTCTTTTTCTTTTTCTTTTCTTCTTTTCTTTTCTTCTGTTTTGGAGAGAGTAGCAAAGCACGATTTTTACGGGATTGTGCTACAATCAGGGTCAGTCAAGTCAAGTCAAGTCAAGTCAGACAAGAAGAAGAAGAGCAGGGAGAGCAGAGAGCGAGAGAGAGAGAAGAGGGAGAAGAGGGAGGCAGGGGTTGTCTGTACGTGTGCGCGTATTTCTGTGTGTTTGTGAGTGTGTGTGTGTCTGAGCACAAGGTCGATTTCGGAAGGAGGGAGGGAGATATGCTGCTGTGTGTATATGTTCAAAGAAGGCCCATCCCCCACCCCCCAAGTAAACGTCGGCTTCTTCGCACGAAATTATTATCGACTCTTTTTTATTTTTTAATGTGTATTCTTATTCTTTAGTATTTTGTGGGCAATTATATGCGGCGGGAGCAAAAATTCTAAATGGCGGGAGGCCAAATTTCTTCCTTCACTACCTCCTACTGCCTCCCTACTTTTGATAGAACTGAGACAAGACAAGGTCCCTAGGCAATCAAGTGATCGAGACGGAGACGGAGACGGAGACGGAGACGGAGACGGAGATGGAGGTGGAGGTGGAGATGGAGGTGGAGATGGAGATGGAGATGGAGATGGAGATGGAGATGGAGACAGGCACTACGCGATCGGTACTGCGCGATGGGTACTGCGCGATAGGCGTAATAGACACTGCGCACGCGATGGACACCGCGCGATCGACCGCGTAATGGACGCCGCCTAATAGACACTGCGCAATAGACACCTCGCAATAGACACCGCGCGATGGACACCGCGCGATATAGATACGCGTGCCTTAGGCAAACTTGACCTCCCGCCATTTAGAATTTTTGCTCCCGCCGCATATAATTCCCCTATTTTGTGGTCTTCTCTTTTCCTTTTCGCTTTCACGTTTCACTTGTTCATTTGTTAAGTATTGTAAGTATTGTTCACTTGTGAGTATTGTTCACTTGTGAGGGTTATTCACTTGTGCGGGTTGTTCACTTGTGCGGGTTGTTCACTTGTGAGGGTTGTTCACTTGTGAGGGTTGTTCACTTGTGAGGGTTGTTCACTTGTGCGTGTTGTTCACTTGTGAGTGTTGTTCACTTGCCTCACTTATTGAGTGTTGTTGCGTGATTTACTTAGTACTTTTTAGGAGGTTGTAGGAGAAGAGGGAGAAGAAGAAGAAGAAGAAGAAGAAGAAGAAGAGGGAGATTAACTACAGCAGGCAGGCAGGCAGGGTTCTTCTTCCTCCTCTTCTATCTAGAGGAGAGGGAGAGGGGACTATAACCGTGACTATAACTTATAACTTTGCACTTGGAAGATGAAGATGAAGATGAAGAAGACGATGATGATGATGATGATGAAGAATGTTATAGAGAAGATGCAGAGGCAGAGGCAGAGGCAGAGGCAGAGCAAAGAAGAAGAAGAAGGGAAACACTTAGGTAGGTAGGTAGGTAGGTATAGAAAGTCCTAGAGAGAGAGACAAAGAGAGAGAGAGAGAGAGAGAGAGAGAGAGAGAGAGAGAGAGAGAGAGAGAGAGAGAGAAGAAGAAGAAGAAG